TCAGGGTTGTGGCAGTGCCATGGTGGCTGTGACAGTGCCACCATGACTGTGGTGGTACCATGCTGACTCTCACAGTGCCATGGTGGCTGTGATGGTGACACATTGGCTGTGACAGTGCCACCATGACTGTGGTGGTACCATGCTGACTCTGACAGTGCCATGGTGGCTGTGATAGTGGCATAGTTGTGGCTGTGATGGTGACACATTGGCTGTGACAGTGCCACCATGACTGTGGTGATACCATGGTGACTCTGACAGTGCCACGGTGGCTGTGATGGTGACACACTGGCTGTGACAGTGCCACCATGACTGTGGTGATACCATGGTGACTCTGACAGTGCCACGGTGGCTGTGATGGTGGCACGGTGGCTGTGCCATAGTGGATGTGACACTGCCTGTCCCAGGCTGCTGTGGGACCTGCTGAGCACCTCGGGGCTGGGTGCTGCTGGGATCCCTGAGGATCATCTGGGATTCCGGGATGAGGGGGAGAGCAGCTTCAGTGCTGCACCTACTAAGGGATGTGGGATCAGAAAATTCACTGAAAGTGGGCAGATTTGTCCTGATTGCAATACCTGGCATTATGGACCCTGCTGTGGTGTCCCCAGTGCTGATTGGGATCCCTGAGGATCATCTGGGATTCCGGGGTGAGGGGGAGAGCAGCTTCAGTGCTGCACCTACTAAGGGATGTGGGATCAGAAAATTCACTGAAAGTGGGCAGATTTGCCCTGTTTGCAATACCTGGCCTTATGGACCATGCTAGCCCTGCTGTGGTGTCCCCAGCGCTGTCCTGTACCCCCTCAGCACCTGAAATCCCCCCTGAGAGAGATCCCCCCTCTCCCCTCCATGCTCAGCAGCATTGGCAGAGGGGCTGTGCCCCCAGAGCAGGCACAGGCAGCCCCAGCTCCCCGTCCCTCCCTGGCTGTTTTGTGCTCTCTTGTTCAAAACGTGCCCCAGATTCCCCGGAGGAGCTGCCGCAGTGGGAGAACTCCGCGGTGCTCCGTGGTGCCCTGAGAATCCGAGACTGCAGAGCCCTGGCAGGAGGGTTGAACCCAAGCATCCCCCGTCCGGTGAGGGAGCAGCGTGGCAGGAGAAGCCCCTGGAGCCGATCCTGCCCCGGTTTGAAGCCGTTCCTCCTGCTCTGAGTAATTGTTCAATTACCGCGAATCGAATCGAGCGCGGGGGCAGCTCGCTGCTGTGGCTGCCTTTGGCAGGCGCCCAGCCTGTCTGTGTGCACACAGCTGCATGGCAATTCCCATTCCTGTCCTCAAACCCCGCTCTGGGAGCTCGTCTGGGCAGGGCTGGAGCTGTCCCGTCCTCTGCTCACCCGGGATGGATGGAGGATGGCAAACACAAGGCGCGCAGCTCGCCCCGTGGCACCTGGCTCGCTGAAGATTCTGTGTCCAAACACCCATCAACATCATGAAAATCGTGGGGAAAAAGGAAAAATACCCCAAAGGGAATCAGGAGGGCTGGAGCTGCCTGGGTATTTCATCAGCAGGTAGCTGAGGCCCAGCCTGGCATGTTTTGTGGGTTATTTGGGAAGAATTTTGGCTCTGCTCCGGTTCCAGCTGGCACCGGCTGCTCCTGGTGTTGAGTAGGGCTGGAGGCAGCCTGGCCATGGCACGGTGCCCTCAGAGCATCCTGCACAGCCTCCTCGGGCTGTTGGGAGAGGAAATGCTGCAGACCTGCACTGCCAGCCCTGCTCCTCACCTTCCTCTCAGCTGTGTCTGGTACCCACAGCCCGTCCCCAGGGAGCCCAGCTGGGCCAGCAGCACATTTCTGTGACTCCAGCGTGGCTGCAGCCACACTTTCTGAGTGTTTGATCCATGTGGGTTTGCATGGAGGGTGCAGAGCTGTCAGCTGAGCTGAGCTGGAGTGAAGGGGTGAAGTGGGGTCTTACTTTGGCTGCCTTGGCAGAGGTGGGTGCTGGCACCCACCAGATTGCAGAGATTTCTGGGGTTTTGCTGGTTTGTTAGGTACTTTACTCCCCCAAAGAAAAATTCAGAAGAGTCTTATTTGCATCCTGTTAAATGATGGGAGAAATTCCTTGAGAAGCTTCCTGGGACAAGAAATCCCTGTATGGGTTCATATTTTTTGTGTTTTCTTCCTTTTTGAGAGAACTGTCCCAGCTCTGGGGAAATGGAAAGGATGGAGCAGGGGCTGTGCCCCTCAGTGTCTGTTTGAATGCTGGTGGGCTGTGATGTGCTCCTCCTGCCCTTTCATCCTGCACTTTTCTATTGTGAACAAACTATTGTGTCTTTTTTTGGGAACTCATCATCTTACAACAAATTGCCTCTAATCTTAGATTAATAAAGTACAATAAATAACCAAGCGAAGAAAACGAAGTCACTCAGGCATTATGAAGTGCATAATAGCAGTAATTACACTTCCAAGAAGAGGGCTGTAACTAAACTTGTAAGAGGATTGTTGTTTGCATGGCCTGGGGAGGTTCAGTGGGGGCAAGGTGGGGGAGCTGTGGAGCTGGGGACACTTGGAGTGGCCTAGGATGGGCTGGCACCAGGATGCTCCAGGTGGGAAGAATGCCCAGCCATGGCAGCAGGAGGGGACACTGAGCACCCCATCCTGGCTGAGCTGCTGCGAAGGCAGAGCTGTCACAGTGTGTTTTGGGGTGGTAATCATGCAGTCAGAGTTTTGCTTGATTCTTATTCCCAGTTAACTTCCTGACAATGAAATGAAAGGGTATGTTTTACGTGATGTCATCTCCTTCCCTCGGCTGGAAATGGAGTAGGAGCTTTGATACTTTGGGATGGTGCTGCTGCCTGGGAAGAGCCATCCTTCTTTCAGCTGTGGGGTGTTGGATTCACCTGCAGAGTGGGACCCCCACAAAGATCTGGGGCTCAGCCTTGGAAGGTTGTCTGCACAGGAACGTGTTCCCTCCACATCCTTTTATTTCTTCATCTCTCTGCAGTGTTAAACACCCTGTTCCCCCCCAGTCAAGACATGGCTTTTTGGTTGCTTTATTGTTTTCCCAGTGTTCCTTCTTCCTGCAGCCATCAGGATGGATGAATACATGGGCCACTTTATCATAAAGAGTTAGATCTAATCATTTAGTCCTTTTATCCATCAGCAATTACAGTCATTGTCTCGAGGTGGGCCACAGCTCTGCAGATCAGTGAACCATCTGTCTGATGGCACAGATTTATTCAGCTGTTTGTTGCTTTGATACGAGACAAATGTCTGGCAGAGGAATCGTGCTCCCTGAAGTCTCCGGCTCCTCAAGGCTCTCAATCCTCAGGGACTCTGATGAATGGGGTGCTCAGCGCTGCTGTCGGAGCTGTAAGCCAGTTCCCAGCACTTCCTGGCCATTTTTAATAAGGAGAAGGAGCAATTATCTTGTGTGCAGCACTGTGAGCAGTTGTGACAGCTGATTTATGCCCTGGCACAGAAAAATGATTTGCCGAGTCTGGCTGTGGAAACTATTAATTTTAGCAGGTGTAAAGGCTGGGCTCTGAGGCTCTGCATTAACACTGTTTGCTCCTCAAGCATCGTGCTGATGAGCCAGGGCTTGTAAATTCTCCTGCTCTCTCCCTGCAGTGGGGTCTGGGGTTGTCCCTTCTCGTGGTGACCTGAACCAGGTGTGGTGCAGGGCCCCTCTGGCCACCTCCCCACCCCTTAGGCCAGCTGGGGTGGAGCCCAGGATGAATGTCTCATAAAACCCCTTCCCAATTTGCTGCCTGATCAGCTGGGCATGAATGTTTGGTAAATATTCATCGCTCCGTGTCAGAGCGAGGAGCAGCTGCTCCCCAGTAAATCAGGATCTGGTCGGATCTGGCACCTGTGGGATGGAGAGGGATGGCAGTGACTGTCACCGGGAATTTGCTGCCCTTGGTCTGTGCCTGAGCTGGATTGACGAGGGCTCGGTGACCTCTTGCAAGCAGTCAGAAAAGGAGCAATGACAGCAGCGCTTCCTTGGGCTTGCTGAAAGCAGCGAGTGGGGGAATTCAGGGCACTGAGCTCCTTTGTGTGCTGGCCAGGGAGGAGCAGAGTTTGCCTTGCTCGATCTAAAGCCGAGGCAGGAGGAGCCGCTGGCGTTTCCCCGGCACTCAGCAGGAGCAGCGCGATTTAGGGTGATGAATAATGGCTTTACAAAGGGCTGCGGGCGATTATAAAGTGCCATGAAAGCTGAGATGGGCTGGGACAGCTTTACCCACACAGCCTCCATGCAGATCCCAGCCCCTGCTGCCATCCCTGCCCCAGGGAGGTTTTCTCCCATCCCTGGAATGTGAGGCTGGCAGGGGGCTGCGGATGGGGAGGCAGGAGAAGCCAAGGAAGGTGGAATGGGTCTTTCCAGACTCACCTGCTGCTCCTCCCTGCCTGATGCTGTGAAGTGCCCTGGCAGGTGATGCTCTGCCCTGGCACTGTCCCCTGGTGCCACCCCCGGTGGCCCTGGATGGCAGGGGATGTTTGGGGTTGGTTGTCAGCTCCTGGGTTTTTCTGGAATGACCAAGAGTGGTATCTTAGCAACAAAGGGAAATTTTCTCCGTTTACAATGGAATTGTTTTTTACAGCTTCCATGCTGAGTGTTTCTCCACCCCAGGCAGAGGCAGGGCACGTACAGAGCCAGGACATTGGGGACACTGGGGACATTGAGAACATTGGGGACATTGTCCTCAACAGCTCCTGCTCTGCTGGAGCAGACAGTCGGGGAGAGGCAGCTCCAGAACTGCTGCTTTTCGGGAGGTTTTGGACATTGTGAAATGTGTAAAGGGAGAAGTGTGTGGCTCTGCTGTCAGCTGGTTGTGTGTGAACCTCAGCCAAGCCCCGGTCCCCAGCAGGGGTGGCCCTAAGGGTCACATCAGCTGCTCTGGTGGTCCCTGGGCTCGGTTGGGACTGCGGGGACAGCCGGGAGCCCATGGCCGAGCCTGGGTCACTCTGGGGTGTCAGTGGGGTCACCCAGCGGGGCTGGGGGGACAGGGGGGCTCCTGGGGGCTCCTGCCCTGCCACCCCACTGACAGCCCCGCTGGGCACTTTCCCCGCAGGGTGCAGGTGGAATTCTACGTGAATGAAAACACCTTCAAGGAGCGGCTGAAGCTCTTCTTCATCAAGAACCAGCGCTCGAGTGAGTGCTCCGGGAGAGCCGAGCCCAGCCCGAGCCGGGAGAGCTGCACTCCGTCCTTGGCATGAGAAGCCATTGCCATCTGCTGGTGGCCTTGTCCCCGTGTGTCCGCAGCCCCTCCTGGCTCCTTTGCTGGGTGTTGGCCGGCTTGGTTTGGGGGATGCTCTGCATGGGGAGGAGAGGATGCCTTCTGCCACCTCTGCTCCCCGAGGACAGCCACAGCGTGACAAACAGCTGTGGCAAGCTGGCTGGGAGCAGGGCGGTGTCAGGGAGCCAATGTCCCCGTCACAAAGCTGGCTGTGCCTCCCTGAGGCTGTGGGGACAGCCAGGGCAGGCTGTGAGTTACCCTCTCCTGCTCCGGCCATGGGGATTGTTCTCCACTTGACTAATGGTGTTTTTATTTTCTTCCTCTGAGATATCATTAGCTGTCTGGAGGGGGCCTGCTCGTTAATTTATAAATTTGCCTTTTCTTCTCCTGCCTCCATCCTGTTGTCTTGTTAAAAAGCTGGAGTGCAGCACAACAGGGTGCCCACGGGGAAGTTTTTAATGAAAATGTGATGAATTTCTCACTTGTAACCTGAGTAACAACCCCATGAACTGGCTGGGGAGGCAGAGTGGATAAAGCAGCAGCTTTTCCTCACCATCCCTGCTCCTGCAAGGTGCTTGTGATGTGGTCAGTGCTGCTCTGGTACTTTTAAATGGATCCCTGCTAATGAGGGGGATACACTCCAGCAGCTCCTTGTTTGTCTCTCACATCTTTTGGAGTCAGCAAGGAGCTGACTCATGGTTATTTATCTCTGTGTTGATCTCCTGTGTCTGTGACACTGGGCAGGAGATGGAGCTGGGCAAACCTAGGCAGTGCTGCTGCCCTGGGGCTCCTGCAGCTCCCTGGGGGATCAGAGGGTTCCTGAGCTGTGGCGCTGGGCTGTGGGGCTGCCCAGCATGCACAGGACACCCTGGGGTGCTTGGGATCTGTGGGATGCTCAGGATGCCCAGGAATGCTGCCCCATCCCTGCTGCCCTCCACCACAGGCCTGAGGATCCGGCTCTTCAACTTCTCCCTGAAGCTGCTGACGTGCCTGCTGTACATCGTGCGTGTCCTGCTGGACAACCCCGAGGAGGGCATCGGCTGGTGAGTGCCCCAGCTGCCCACCAGGGCTCACTGTGCCTGTGCCATGTGTCAGGATGGGTTTTCTCCCCCAGCTGCCCACCAGGCTCTGTGCCTGTGCCACATGTCAGGATGGGTTTTCTCCCCCAGCTGCCCACCAGGATCACTGTGCCTGTGCCATGTCTCAGGATGGGTTTTCTCCCCCAGCTGCCCACCAGGCTCACTGTTCCTGTGCCACATGTCAGGATGGGTTTTCTCCCCCAGCTGCCCACCAGGGCTCACTGTGCCTGTGCCATGTGTCAGGATGGTTTTCTCCCCCAGCTGCCCACCAGGCTCACTGTGCCTGTGCCATGTCTCAGGATGGGTTTTCTCCCCCAGCTGTTTGAATTGGTGATTTAATGAAACTTCCCAGGTTGGAGGCCCCTGCTCAAACCCCCTGGATGGGTGTGAGGGCATCTACTGGCCCTGAGCAGAGCATGGTGGAAAAATTCAGGTCATGTTCATTTCCAAATTCTGTCTGCCTCTGTCAGGGGCTCAGCGTGGCCTTCAGGCACAGGTGAGAGCTCAGCCGCTCCAGGGCATCACCATGCAAATGTTTTCTGAAGGCTGACACCCTTGAAGACATTAACACTAAATCCCATTTAAGCATTTGAGAGGGAAATACGGTGTGCTGTGTGGATCCTTGAGGTGATGGATGATTCCACACATCAGCTTTGTGCTGGGTTTCAGTGTAATCTTATTTTTAATGTGTCCTTGCTTCGTTTAGCTCATGTACAATGTGATTTTTTTTTTCCCCAAGAGCTTGGATAATTGTTGATTTGATTTTCTCCTTGTAAAAGCTGCAGAATACCAAGCACATCTGCACATTCTGAAAGTGCTTTCAGACCTGTGAGAATGAAGCAGGGCACGGATGCTCATCCTTGAGAGGTTTAGCACAGCTGCAGCTCAGGGAATTCCATCTGGCCAGCAGGAGCACATCCCTCACAGCAGGGCAGGGACAGCTCAGCTCGGTGCTGCCTGCCTGGCAGGGTGCTGGGGGCCCAGCCAGCCTCGTCCCAGAAGCTGCAGCTCAGCAATTTTTGCTAATTGTAACCTGGTAATTCCCAGTTCCCAGCTCCCTGCAGCCCTGTGCTCTGCACTGTGCCAGGGGAAATCAGCATTTCACAGCATCTCTGGCAGGGGCTGAAGCACCTGAGGGGTTTTGTCCTCCAGCAATGAGATGTTCAAGGCTGCCTGGGGGAGACTTTTCCTGTGCAAAGCCCTGGCTATAGGAATCAGGGTGTCTGGATCCATGGAAATGCTGTCCAGTGATCACAGGGGGTCAATCCCAGCATCCCTGTCCCCCACTGACTGCTTTTCCCTGCTTTCTCCCCCAGCTGGGAATGCGAAAAGCAGAATTACACAACGTTCAACCAGTCCACCAACATCAACTGGTGAGTGGGACCTGCTCCAGCTCTCTGGGTCAGCTCTGCCAGGCTCTGGGAGCAGAGGGGTGGAGGTGGCTGCTGCTGGCAGCTGCCTGAGGCTGCATCTTGATCATGGGGCTGCTCGAGGGATGTGGAGCAGCATCCCAGAACAAATCCATTGGCAAGTGGCAGTGGCTGCACACTTAGGAATGGCTGATTTCCAGGGCAGGGGCTGCTGGAGCAAACTGCAGGAGGGAGCAGCAGCTCCTGAGTCAGGGATGGCCTCGGGTTTGCATTTGGGGGGGTGAAACTCTGACAGCTGAGCCACAGCTCCGGGTTTCTTTGCAGGTCCCACATCTTTTGGGTGGACAGAAAAACCCCTCTGTGGGCCGTGCAGGTGAGCAGCCCTTGCTGGGTGTGCAGGAGCCCAGAGGGGCTGGGCTGGGAGCTCTGCCCTGCCTGTGACACCCCCAGGGGCTCCCTGGGGAAGGGGGGGCTCGGCGAGCTCCGATCCGCTGCCAACACCTGGAGAGAGCCCTGGGAGCCCCCCGTGTGTGTCCCTGCAGGTCAGCATCGCCCTCATCAGCTTCCTGGAGACCATGCTGCTCACCTATCTCAGCTACAAGGTGAGAGCCCCAGCCAGGAGGGCTCAGCCTCCTCTACCTTCTGCAGGAATTGATTTCTCCCACATATCCTGGGGGATGTTTGTCTGGCCGCTGTCTCAGCCAGCTCTGGATGTTTTCCTTTTTCATTTCCCCTCGGGCTGCTGGAAAAGTGTTGTGCAGAGCAGAATCTCTTCTTTTTGTGCTTTCTCAGAAATTCAGGCCTGTTTAATGCAGGCTCGCTGTTGGTAGTGTCAGGCTGACACATCCCAGATTTCCTGAGCTCGGCAGGGTGACTCCTGCTCGTGCCCTGCTGCCTCCAGAGCGAGTGGCAGCACTCCAAGCCAGACAGGGAGAGGCACAAGCTGACTCCTTTGGACCAAAGCCACCTAAAATGACCAGAAAAAGTGACCTTGACAAATGGCATCTTCTCAGGGACCAGGGGAGGGCTGGCAGCAGAGACTCAGACCTTGCGTCACCCCTGCTCTGAGTGCCAGCGATCTGTAGCTGTCACTGTCACTCTCCATCCCTGCATGAAGTGTTGTTGTCCCCCAGCTCTGGGTGGCAGCAGTGACAGACAGAGGGATGTAGTGGCTGTGGAGAAGAGTTTGGGAATGTTTCCTGCTCCCAGAGTGTCTGCCACCACCACTGCACCTCTCCTGTACTGTATTTCCCTCATCCAGCAGGGTCTGTGGCAGAGTGGGATCACTTAAATTGTCCTCTGGGAAGTTTCTAAGGTTATCTAATTCTTCTTTGGTTTTAATTCCTCAGGGGAACATCTGGGAACAGATTTTTCGCATTTCCTTCATCCTGGAGATGATCAACACGGTGCCGTTCATCATCACGGTGAGTGTGTCCCGGTGACATTTGGAAACAGCTCTAAGTGTAGTAAGTTCCGTGTTTTGGTGGTGAAATAAAAACAAATGGGTTTCTGGCCAAGTGGTATTTAAGGCTGGCAGGAAATTTTCCCTTCAATATTTGACAATATAATGACTTTCTCTGGGGTGTTATCCCAAAACCCATCCTCCTTTTCCAGCTGCTCTGCTGCAGCCAGGGAAACAGGGCCGTGTTTGGTGGCAGCTTCTACTCATCTTGGATTGGGATCCTTCCACACAGGGAGGATTGGCTGCTTATGGCTCTATTTTTTAAAAGAACATGGATTTTTCTGCAAATAACCCTTGCTTTTGTAGATATTCTGGCCTCCTTTACGGAATTTGTTCATTCCCGTGTTTCTCAACTGCTGGCTGGCCAAGTATGCCCTGGAGAACATGATTGTGAGTGGTCCCTTTTGTCCCACTCCTCAGGGATGTGGAGGGCTGCAGGACTGGGAGGGGACCCTTGGCTGCCCCCAGCTCTGGGGCAGGATTTGGAGCTTGGTGTGAGCAGGCTGGGGATGCCAGGCTGGGGATGCCAGTCTGTGACCAGGAATCCCTCAGAGTCCAAACCACAGTGACCACAGGGGTGGTCAAGGGTGAGGTGTTCCAGCCATTCCCCTGTTCCCACCAGAGCTGTCTCTCAGATCCCAGACCTGCTGGTGGGAATGCACATCCCATTCACTGGGGAGGGCACTGCTGGAGCCAGCAAGGCAGCAGTTGGTGCTTGGAGGGGATTTTCCCCCAGGCTCTGTGAGCTGGTGGGAGCCCTCCCCTGTGTCCCCAGAACGATCTGCACCGAGCCATCCAAAGGACGCAGTCAGCAATGTTCAACCAGGTGCTCATCCTCATCTGCACCCTCCTGTGCCTCGTTTTCACGGGGTGAGTGCTGTTCTCCAGTTCTCTAAACCCCCTTCCTGATCCTGGGAATCCAGCTGTGCCCACCCTGGGAGTCCAGCTGTGCCCACCCTGGGAGTCCAGCTGTGCCCATCTGGAGCAGCTGGCAGAGCTGGGCTCCAGCAGGGCTAACACCTTCCCCTGATTGCTCCATCCCACACTGAGCACTGTGGGGGGGTTTCTGAGTCAAACTCCTGATCTTGCCTCATTCTAGAGTTTTAACAGGAAGTTTTTAGTGAGGGTGAGGGTGTTGTCGGAGGCAGCTGGGGGTTGTGGACACAAGAGCAGGGACAGCAGCTTCCCCCAGGGATAGGTGAGGGATGGCTCATTCACCAGGGATGGTTCATTCACCAGAACCCATCTCACTCCCAGGCTCCAGCTTTTCCTCCCCCACACATCACAGCTCCTGAGGTCATTTGTGTAATTGGCCACTGGGCTCCTGCTAATTAACTGGGCCCTTTCCCTGCCATTGCCAACATCAAGGGTGTTCTTTTGGGCAGGGGAGCAGAGCTCATCACTGGCTATTTAGCTCTGAATTAGGCTTTGAATTCTCTTCTGGCTCACTTGGTCTGGGTTTGAGGCATATTAAACCATTAAGTTGCTGAATGGAGAGGAAATGAGGCTTTTAGGCTCATGAGTTTTTGGCAATAAAGATGCTCTGATGTGGATGACTAATGCTATTTCAGAGCTCAGTGGTGCTCCCAGCCCTGCTGCTGGATGAGTTTGGGGAAAGGGGGGTACAATTTGGGCCCAGGAAGTTTTGGGTGACACTTGTGTCCAGCAGGATGGCTTTGAGCTGCATGTTTGTGGGGTTCTGCTGCAGGGCCGGCCCCTGCCCTGATAGGGCTTTTCCCTTCCAGGACCTGCGGCATCCAGCATTTAGAAAGAGCAGGTGAGAAGCTCTCCCTCTTCAAGTCCTTCTATTTCTGCATCGTCACCTTTTCCACCGTGGGCTACGGAGATGTGACACCAAAGATTTGGCCTTCCCAGCTCCTCGTGGTGATCATGATCTGCGTGGCCCTGGTGGTGCTGCCGCTCCAGGTGAGACCTGCACAGCTGAGGGTGGGGAGGGGCTCCCAGCCCACCCCAGGGCAGCCCTGCCCGTGGGGACATCAGCTCCGTGCCCTCTGCAGTTCGAGGAGCTCGTCTACCTGTGGATGGAGCGGCAGAAGTCGGGCGGGAATTACAGCCGGCACCGCGCGCAGACGGAGAAACACGTGGTGCTGTGCGTCAGCTCCCTCAAGATCGACCTCCTCATGGACTTCCTCAACGAGTTCTATGCCCACCCACGCCTGCAGGTGAGCCCCAGGCTGTGCTCACATGCTGCTGGGTTGTTTGGAGCCTCGCTGGCCCGCGGGATCCCCACCCACCCACGGTGGTCTCCCTCCTGCAGGATTACTACGTGGTGATCCTGTGCCCAACAGAGATGGACATCCAGGTGCGGCGCGTGCTGCAGATCCCCCTGTGGTCCCAGAGGGTGATCTACCTCCAGGGCTCTGCGCTCAAGGATCAGGACCTCATGAGAGCCAAGTGAGGAGGGGGACACCCTGCACGTCCCAGCAAGGAGTGTCACCCCAGCTGTGTCCCCCTGTGCCTTTGCTGGGTCTGGGGGGCTGGCAGTGGCCTGGCTGGGGTGGGCAGTGCCCAGCCTTGTGGGCCCTGCAGTTCATGGGGTGGCTGCTCTCTCCTGGCAGGATGGACAATGGAGAAGCTTGCTTCATTCTCAGCAGCCGAAACGAGGTGGACAGAACAGCAGCGGTGAGTCCAGCCAGGGGTGGGGAAGGGGCATTTTTAAGGCAGAAGGGACTGGGGTGGTGTTGATATCACTGTGCCCAGCAAAAGAGGGTTTTGGGAAGGGGCTGGTTGCCAATGAGAGCCTTGGGGATGGCACAGAGACATGCAGCAGCACACTGCTGGCTGAGCCCCTGTGGGCTCCCCTTCCTTCTGCTGGTTTCCCATCAGTGCTGGGTTTCAGGGAGCACCATGGGCAGCAGGAGCTCTTGCTGTATATCTGCAGGGTGGCTGGGTGCTTTGCAGTTCATCTCAGGTGTAGAAACCTTGGGGAAAAGAAACAATCAGTCAAGCAGCTCTTGTTGCTCTTGTCCCTGTCCAGGACCACCAGACCATCCTGAGAGCCTGGGCTGTCAAAGACTTTGCTCCAAACTGTCCTCTCTACGTTCAGATCTTAAAGCCAGAAAATAAATTTCATGTCAAGTTTGCCGGTGAGTTTGAGCAGCTGCACAGCAGCTCTTGGTCAGCTGAGAGCCCTCCTGGACTGGCAGGAGGAGGAAACACCCAGTGCCCAACACCACCCCAAAATGACCCCATTCCCAGGCACTGCCAGCCAGGGAACCCATCTGTCCCCTTCCCCTCTGTGATGGTCCCCTCTGCCTTTCAGATCACGTTGTGTGTGAGGAGGAGTGCAAGTATGCCATGCTGGCACTGAACTGTGTCTGTCCTGCCACCTCCACCCTCATCACGCTGCTGGTGCACACCTCCCGTGGCCAGTGAGTGTGTCCCTTGCTGTCCCTTGTTGTCCCTTGCTGTCCCTGCCCGTCCCTGCCCTCCCCTACCCCTGTCCTCCCCTGGAGGGTGGCAGAACTGAGGTCTCTGAGCTCAGGGGAGAGGGTGGGGTCTGGGATGGCTCTGGGGAGCACAGTGGGGTCTGGGGAGCACAGTGGGGTCTGGGACCCCCCTCCAGGTCATGAGCAAAAGCCCATATTGTAAGTGCCGTTGGGCTGGGCAATGCCAACTTTCCAGAGACTGGAGATAAAAATACCTTTGTATTGGCATGGTGCTGCTGGCAGGAAGGTGAATTCAAAGCACAAGCAACCCCAGACCCCGCAGGGTTTTTTGGTGGGTTTGTATCCAGCATGGGTGGAAGGAGCTCTGCCAGCACAGGAGAGCAGTGGTGTGTGCTCTGCACTCCTTGGCCAGTGAGAAATATCTGAATTTTGGGTAAAGTGCCATCAAAACAGTTACAAAACATCCTTGCCAGATGCCTCTCACCCCATGCTCAGAGCTGTTTGCCAACACGGGCTCTGCATCCTCCCCCTGCACTCTGCAGGAACCCTCGTTAAATAAAAAGGCACTTAAACCCAAAATGAGCACGAGCTCATCCTTAGCAAGCACTGCCAGCTCGTGGCCATGTGTCACTGTCACCTCCCTGCTGCCGGGCTCAGGGGCAGCTCCAGAGATTATTGCTGCTCTGCCCTGGGATCTGGCTGGGGTTCTGGGACTCATGTACAATGTGATGTCCCATCCCAGCTCCAGGGGTCCCATCCCAGCTCCAGGGTCCCATCCCAGCTCCAGAGGTCCCATCCCAGCTCCAGGGTTCCATCCCAGCTCCAGAGGTCCCATCCCAGCTCCAGGGGTCCCATCCCAGCTCCAGGGTCCCATCCCAGCTCCAGAGGTCCCATCCCAGCTCCAGGGGGCTATCGCAGCTCCAGGGGTCCCATCCCACTCCTAGGGTTGCCATCCCAGACCCAGTGGGCCCCATCCCACCCCTGGGAGTCCCATCCCACCCCCGGGGGTCCCATCCCAGCACCGAGAGTCCCATCCCAGCACTGGAGTCCCATCCCAGCCCCGATGGGTCCCTGCTGACGCTGCTGCTGCGGTTGCAGGGAGGGCCAGGAGTCGCCGGAGCAGTGGCAGCGGATGTACGGGCGCTGCTCGGGCAATGAGGTCTATCACATCCGCATGGGGGACAGCAAATTCTTCATGGAGTACGAGGGGAAGAGCTTCACCTACGCCGCCTTCCACGCGCACAAGAAGTGAGGGCAGGGAGGATGGGCAGGGGGATCTGCCTGCCTGCATGCCTGGGGTCAGGGCTGGGGCTGCTGCCAGGTCCTTTGCGGGGGACAGTGTCCAGGAGGGGATTTTCTCCAGCTGGGAATGCCCATCCCCTGCTCCCGGTGCAGGTACGGCGTCTGCCTGATTGGCATCCGGAGGGAGGAGAACAAAAGCATCCTGCTGAACCCCGGGCCGCGGCACATCATGGCAGCGTCGGACACCTGCTTCTACATCAACATCACCAAGGAGGAGAACTCTGCCTTCATCTTCAAGCAGGAGGAGAAGCAGAAGAAGAAGGGCTTTGCGGGCAGAGGCAACTACGACGGCCCCTCCCGGCTCCCCGTGCACAGCATCATCGCCAGCATGGGTGAGTTGGGGGCTCGGGGGGCAGCAGGAGCTGGCACACCCCACTCCATCACCTCCCCCACGCTTGGGTTCATTTCCTCTCCCACATTTGGGTTTATTTTGTGTTTTGCTATGCTCCCTCCCTCCCCAAAAAGCCCCTCTCCGTGCTCTCTCCCAGCTGTCTCACCAGTAAAATACATGTTTCCTTGCACCCTGCATGCTCTCAGCAAGCTCAAATGTCATTATTAAACCTCGTGATGTCCATTATCATTAAGGGTATTTGCATAAATGCCCCAAGCCTGGATTTAGCCCCCCAATTATTTCCAAGGCTGGAAGAAGAAATGCCGTGGGGCGCATCCTAAATCACGTTTATGATTCCCAAGCCGAGGAAGAGTGTAGCTCTCCCTGCAGCCAGCAGTACATTTGTGCAAGTGAAAAATACCATGAGTCATTACTTCCCTCTTGTATCTGGGGAGAACAAGTTTTGGAGGAACTGAGCCACACGAGCACATTATATTTCAAGCAAATAATGTATGTGTTTGTACTCCTGAGCAGCAATTTGCATAGATTATCCCCCAGCAGGCCTCCGAGCGCTTTGCTGAGCAGTGTTTGTCACAGCTGTCGTCACACAGCTCCTACACAGAGGGACCTTGGGCACAGGTGATGAGAGGGACAGACGTGACGTGAGTGCCAGCAGGGCAGTGGTGTTTGGCAAGGCCAATGCCTGGGCTCTGCTTCTTGGGACACTCCATCAATGTCTTTGGTTTTTGGAAGGTGTTGGAGGACAGGATGAGGAAGTCTGGCTTGTCAAACCTGTTGGATATTAGGAAAAATTCCTTCACAGAGAAGGGTGTGAAGCTTTGGCACAGGGCAGTGGTGGAGTCACCATCCCTGGAGGGGTTTAAATCACGGGTGGATGTGGCATTTGGGAACATGATTTAGTGGCAGGTTGAGAGTGCTGGGGGAATGGTTTGATTCAGTCTTAGAAGACTTTTCTGCCCTTAAGGATTCTGAGATTCTAAGACCTGGAGCTGCTCAGGAGGGATGTGGGATGTGGGAGGTGGGTGAGGGCATCGCTGCCTGCCTGCCACTCCCTGGAGCAAAGGGACATCCATAGGGAGGGCAGTGCCAGGGCAGATGTGGTTCCTGACTTGGCTGGTGTCTCCCAGAGCCCACGAGGGGCTGTGGGCAGAGGTTAGGCTGCAGGGTTGTCCTCTCAGAGACACATCAGCACGACAAAAACTCCTGCAGGGCTCGGTTTGGCAGTTCAGGGAGTCGTTCAGCTGGCCATGAAGCTGTGAGTGGAATGGAGAGAGGGACAGCCCCAGGGACAGCTGAGCCCTGATGAGATGCAGGGGGAGGCCACCAGTGGCCGCTTTACCTACACTCCCTGTACCCACAGACATCTGGGCTGCCTCAACCCTGTGCAGAGCTCGGGGACAGGAAGCTTTCGTGACATTTCCCCTCCCTTAGAGCGTGTTGGCTGTCCTCCCTCCCGCTGTGTCCAGGTACAGTGGCCATGGACCTGCAGAACACCGAGTGCCGCCCTGCCAACAGCAGCAAGCTGGCACTGCCAGCCGAGAACGGCTCGGGCACGCGCCGGCCCAGCATCGCCCCTGTCCTGGAGCTGGCTGACACCTCGTCCCTGCTGCCCTGTGACCTCCTCAGTGACCAGTCTGAGGATGAGATGACACAGTCGGACGAGGAAGGGTCGGCGGTGGTGGAGTGAGTCGCTCTCTCTGCTTTGTCTGGTTCATTCCAGCCGGTCCCATTGATCCAGGTGCCTCTGGCTCATTGTGGCTGCACCCAGTTTGTTCCAGTTTCAGAGGCACTGGGACCATGGCACAGGACAGGTGCTCAGTGGTGCCCAAGGGTGCTCAGGCTCAACCCCTTCTGGCTTTTCCATGAGCGCCCTGTCCCTGCATCTTTACAACCTCATGGCCCTTTGCATAGCAAAAAATATTCCTAAATATGTATATTGAGGGAATTCCCAGCTGCTGCAGGAGAGTTTTGCAGGGCATTTGCCAGTGTTGCTGTTGAATGATTTCCCCAGCATCTGAGTGCTGGATAAATGGAAAGCTCCCCCTGTGCTCACACAGATTTCTCTCTGCTGCAGGTATGTGAAGGGCTACCCCCCAAACTCACCTTACATTGGGAGCTCCCCGACCCTGTGCCACCTTCTGCCTGAGAAAGCCCCGTTCTGCTGCCTGAGGCTGGACAAGGTGTGGAGGGGCTGTGGGGGCTGCCTGGGGCTGAACTCCCCCCAGGACATGTCCACTGAGTGCCTGCTCTGTCCCACGCACAGGGCTGCAAACACAACAGCTTTGAGGATGCCAAAGCCTACGGCTTCAAGAACAAACTGATCATCGTTTCTGCAGAGACAGCTGGCAATGGCCTCTACAACTTCATCGTCCCGCTGCGGGCGTACTACCGCTCCCGCAAGGAGCTCAACCCCATCGTGCTGCTGCTGGACAACAAGCAAGTACTTCTCCAGGGTTGTTCTCCCTCCCACAGGGCCCTCCCTGCCTTTCCAAGGGCATCTCATGCTGTGGGGTGGGAGTGTGAGGGAGCAGCAGTGCCACTGTTGGGTACCTGGGCTGGCTGGCCCTGGGGTTTTGTGTCTGTCTTTTCTGCCTGGACGTGCTGAACCCCCTCGCTCTCTGTGGCTCTCCCCCCAGGCCTGAGCACCACTTTCTGGAGGCCATCTGCTGTTTCCCCATGGTTTACTACATGGAGGGCACCATTGACAAGTAGGTGTTGCCACGGGTGGTTGTCGTGCCAGAATTGTTGCATTTACCCCAGCCCAGACTTTTCTGTCACCCCGTGAGAAGCCCCAGGGTTGGTAGCATAGAGCTGAGCCCACCTTGGGCTTCTCGAGTTGTCAACCCCTTCCTGGGAGATGGGAGCAGATGAAGAGCAGGTTAGGAGCAGCCTGGGCTCGCCGTGGAACCCCTGTGCTGCTTCCCTGTGTCGTTTCCAAGGGCTGACCCTGCGCTCTTCTCTTTGGGAACTGCCCAGCCTGGACAGTTTGCTGCAGTGTGGCATCATCTACGCTGACAACTTGGTGGTCGTGGACAAGGAGAGCACCATGAGTGCTGAGGAGGACTACATGGCAGATGCCAAGACGATTGTCAACGTCCAGACCATGTTCAGGTGAGGGTGAGCACTGCTGGGGACAAGACCAGGACGGGTGCCAGTGCCTGGGGTGGTGGCTACGGACAGTGGGACACATCTGGCACTGGGTTTGCTGCAGGAAGGAGCATGTAACCAGCTATTTCTGACCTCAGTCAGCACAGGGATGACTGTGGTGTTCCACAGACTTTAAATCCTCCAAGACGGCTGCAGGACAACAGCTCTTTCCATTGCAGGCTCTTCCCCAGCCTCAGCATTATCACGGAGCTGACCCACCCCTCCAACATGAGGTTCATGCAGTTCAGAGCAAAGGACAGTTACTCCCTGGCCCTTTCCAAGCTAGAAAAGGTAAGAGGAGGTTGTTCCCTGCACGGGGGCCTGGGAAGTCAACACTGACAGTGACTGACTGCATTTGAGCTCCTCGAACTCCTGTGCTTTTCCCACGTCCAGGAAACCCCATCATATCTCACACATTTCCATGGAGAATAAATATCCTCTTTTTCTACAGTGCAAAGATGCTGCCCTGGTTTCCTCCTGCCACACCCACCAGAAACATTACACCTGTGCCCTCTCATTGCCATGGGAGGCTAAGTTTCTGTGGAATCTGAGCTCAAACTTCCCCTTCTTCTTGCAGAGAGAGCGAGAGAATGGCTCCAACCTGGCCTTCATGTTCCGGCTGCCCTTCGCAGCCGGGAGAGTCTTCAGCATCAGCATGTTGGACACGCTGCTCTACCAGGTGAGACACAGCCCTGCGGCTGTGGCCTCCCCTTGGCATCCCCCAGGGAGCAGCTGAGCAAACCTCTCCCTGGTTTCCTGCCCAAATGTCTCCCCAGTCTTTCGTGAAGGATTACATGATCACCATCACTCGGCTGCTGCTGGGCCTCGACACCACGCCGGGCTCTGGGTACCTCTGTGCGGTATGTGCCAAATGTTCTTGGGGTGAAACCATCAGCCAAGCTGGCCTGGATCTGGTGGCTTCTGTCACCCTGTGCATGAGGTTGGGGGTTCCCCTTTTCTGCAGATCTGGGGGGAAGCAGCATTGCCAGGTCATTGTTCCTCTCCATTTTGGGGAGCCTCAGTGCTGCCAAAAGCCCAAGAACTGCCAAGGATCAAACTCCCTGTTTTGAAGGCTGAGGTCAGAAATTGCCCCTGATTTTCTTGTGGAGACCAGCTCATTTTGGGAAGGTCATGGATGAGCTAGGGTGAAGCTCAGGAGCAGCGCGAGGTGCAGTGAGGGTCCATGCTGGTCCTGTGTTCCTCAGATGAAGATCACTGAGGATGACCTGTGGATCCGGACGTACGGCCGCCTCTTCCAGAAGCTCTGCTCCTCCAGCGCCGAGATCCCCATCGGGATCTACAGGACGGAGTCGCACATGTTCGCCACCTCCGAGGTAGGGCATGGTGCTGCATGAGCTGGGAAGGGGCCAGCCAGGCTGGGATCCAGGAGTGTGCTGGTCCCTGGAACACCTCAGACCTGGCTGCAGCAGCAGTGTGGAGGGGAGAGCAGGGGAAGGGGAATTTTTGTGTTTGTTTCATTAGAGTGGCTGTGCTGTGTGGTCTCCTGGTTCCCCAGCTGGGTCAGGGTCAGTGCCCCTCTCTCTGAGCAGTGCTGGATGATCTTGGCACAGCTCTGCCACACCACTGGGCACCTTGGGGACCAGGGTGGGCACAGCAGGGCTGCCCCTTTTCTGGACTGACTCTTGGTTTTCCCTTCCTCCTCCCCTGCTGCAGCCCCACGACATCCGAGCGCAGGTGAGTGCCGCTCGTGTCCGGCCGTGCCTCCCTGTCCCCCCCTGTCCCCCACCCTGTGGCTGATCCCTGGGCTGGCTCTGGCCACCAAGAGCCGCCCTGTGCTTTGTGCCAGCTCTCAGCCCCAGTGCCAGCACAGCGCTGCCTGTCCCCATGGAAGGGAGATATTGGCTGAGCCCCAGTGCCCTGATGTGATTAACTGGGATCAGGAGCAAGGGAGGGAGCCCTTTAAATACCTTCAGTTTTTGACTTTATAAAGAAGCAGTGACAGGGAGCTGAAAGGTGACATTTAATTAAATGCAACCCAGCTCCTTGAGAGGCTTTAAAAGGCTTTATTAATAAATTCCTTCTCACCAGTGGGGATTGCTGGGTCAGACATGTGGCAGCACAGATGCTGTAAGAGGGAAGAGAGGGAGATGAGGGCATGGCTGTTCCTTGGGCAAATGTCCCAGAGGTGATCCTGTGTGAGGTGTCAGGTGCCCACAAGACTCCTCTCATCACTGCTTATCCAAGGGAAGCTGTGGCTGGCCCATCCCTGGAAGTTCAAGGCCAGGTTGGACAGGACTTGGAGCAACCTGGTCCGGTCCCCCATGGCAAGGAGTGGAACAAGATGCGCTTTATGCTCCTTCCAATCCAAAACACTCTGGGATTCTGTGAAACCTGCCAGCCCAGTGGTTCTTGCAGTGCAGAGACAAAGTGCTGGGAGAGCCCATTTGGGCCAGAGGGAGGAGAGAGATCCCACCCTTCCAGGCACAGCCCAAACCCTTCCTGGCCACCCCCCATCCCGCGTGACCTGCTGGGCTTCTAGTCACAGATCTCAATCAATGTTGAGGACTGCGAGGACACCAAGGACGTCAAGGAGCACTGGGGCATCAAGACGAACCACCACCGGAACTCGTGCTCCAGCGACCAGTCGGAGCACCCGCTGCTGCGGCGCAAGAGCATGCAGTGGGCACGGCGGCTCAGCAGGAAGGGCAACAAGCACTCCAGCAAGACGGCCGAGTGGATCAGCCAGCAGCGCCTCAGCCTGTACCGGCGCTCCGAGCGCCAGGAGCTGTCCGAGCTCGTCAAAAACCGTATGAAGCACCTGGGCTTGCCCACCACCGGGTACGGTAAGTGCCGTTCGGCCGAGCCGCTCCACGGTGCCGCCTCCCGCCCGCGGGCTCCTCAGGTAACCCCCGGCCGAGCCTAACCCCGCGCCAAGCCCGACCCCCGAGCCAGCCTAACCCCATGCCAGCCTAACCCCATGCCCAGCTTAGCGCTGTCCCAGCGGGCGCTCCGGGCGTGCTCCGGGCAGTGCCTCATTCCCTGGCTTGCTTGTGCTTGTGCAGACCAGCGGCTCCAGGCTGGGGTCCCGCCACGCAGACCCCCCCTCCCCTGCCACCCCCGGCCAGCTGCAGGCAGCCCCACATCTCTGGGCTCTGGGATGGCTCCAGGCAGGAGTTGGCAGTGGCAGAGTGGCCCTTGTGCCTGCAGCAGGACCCAGTGTCCCCACACAGCCTCGGGGCACAAGGCCTCATTTGTGCCCCACTTTCTGGCCATGCAGAGATGGTGGTTCAAGACAACCCAAACCCAGGTCAGACAACCCTCGTGCCCAAGAGCCCCTGTAGTTTGGCAGGGAGAGGCCAAACCCCGTCAGCTGGCGCAGCCCCCTTCTTTTGTGGACTTTAATCTGTCATAAACTCTTTGTGGAAAACCTTTCGGTAGCTGCAGGGCTGAGTTGCTTCATTGCGTGTGACACCAGCGTGTGGCTGTGACAGCCACAGCGCTCAGGGTCCCTCTGTGCAGCCACATCTCTCGTCAAGCTTGACCTGCCCGTCGGTGCTGGCATCTGTGTCCCCTGGACAGCTCCCACCCCTTGGTTATGACAAAGTCTGTAGCTCACAGCTCCCTTTGTTTGGTTGGTTTGGTTTTGTTTTTTTTCTTTTCTTTCTTTCTTTGAAGCCATCCTGTGCTGCTGCTTGTTTGCTCCATCCTCCAGGAGTGTCCGTCCACCCCGTGCTGGCCCCTGCCCACACTCAGGCTGGCAGTGAGCCCCAGCTGGGGTGGGAGCTGATTTTGGGGGTGGGATTCCTCCTTTCCCATCTTGGCTTTAGGCATGGGAAAGAGGAGGACAAAATGTCCAGAAGTGCAGTGCAAGGAGGGGTTTGGAGTGAGTGGGGACCCAGGGGTGGTTGTGGGCACTGCCAGCGTCCCCAGGGAGAGAGGCAGGAGAGCTGGAGTGTGGTGGGATGGAACGAGCACAGGGACTGCCAGGCAAGGGCTTGCAGTGGTGTACCCCACTTTCCTTTTTCCCTTCGTTCCCAGTCCCAGAAGTTTCTGTTGCAGTTCCAGGGGGGCTGTCTGGCCTTGGTGAGGCTTGGAGCACAGCTTGGGGTCAGGTCAGGGCTGGCATCCTTGTCCTGGCCCATCTGGCAAATTTGGGTTGAAGAAACTGGGGGAGCTCTGATAGGAGAGGGGACAGTGGGGGGCACAGGACAGGGACACTGGGCACAGTGTGGGACCAGCAGCTCCTTGGGCATCCAGCGGTGCAGGGACTGTGTGTTGTCACCTTGTGTCACCGTCAGTGTCTGGACACCCATGGAAAAACGTTGCTCTGCCTTCTGCCCCTTTCCTTTTTCTTTTGCTCACGTTATCGCTGCAGCGCAGGAGCTCGTCTCTGATATTTGCCAAACCATGGCTTGCTGACCTCTCTCTCTCTCTCTGTTTATGTCTGTGCCTTTCCCTGTATGTTCTGTAGAGGATGTAGCAAATTTAACAGCCAGTGATGTGATGAATCGGGTAAACCTGGGATATTTGCAAGGTAATTCCCTTTCCCTGGGAGTCCCGCGTGACTCATGGCGTGCAGCGTACAACAAGATCATGCCAGCTAAGCCCAAACCTCACCCTTGCCAGTTTTCACCTTAGATCCCCGAGCTTTCAGCACTAATTTGTTGGGTGGCATTGGAAAACCAATCAGTGTCCTGTGGTGGTGGTGCAAACGCAGGGCTCTGCCTGCTCAGGGAGAGAGAAACCTCAGGGACCATTTTTAGCTGAATTCCTACAGGGAAATCACAGCCCTTGGCTTTCATTAACAAAACCCTCCCTCCATGGCTGCATGACAGGGTTTTGGGCTGTACAGCCATTGGCAACTTGAGGAGGGGACGAGGAGGGGGACAAGTGCACCAGAGCTGCCTGTGCATGTTGTGATGAGATGCTGGAGCTCCTGCTGGGTCAGCCACAGTCCAGAGCAAGGCAGTGCTTTAAAAATCCCTTTGCACCCCTTGGTTTGCCTTCCTGGACCCCTCTCCAGCATCAGAAGACCCCATTTTGTGACTGGGGGTGCTGGGCTCAGTCTGAAGCAGCCACAGGGGCCACAGGGGCAGTGCTGCAGCCACCTTGTGGGGCTCTGTGGGACCTACCAGGTTTTCCCATCTTTTTTTCACCTTCACACCAGGGTTGAACTTGCCCTGGGAAAGCTCCTTTTTACTGCGGCAGCCCCAAGATTAGCAAAAACCCATCCCAGCTTCATTTTTGGCTTCACTAGCCCAGGCTTAAGGTGAAACGTTGGCATTTTCCTTACAAAGTGTGTCCTTCATCAGCCAGGCAGCCCCAGCCGGGGCTCATGGAAGCCAGCAGAGTATATTGCCCGGGGCAGTGGAGTACAGCAATATACTCAGTGTGCTCAGCAGGGCCTGGCTTGGCTGCATGGGGTCAGGAACCTTCCATGGGGCAGGGAAACCTGCCCAGAGCCAGAGCCCCTCCCCTCCTCCCTGTCACGTCAAACCCCGTGTGTCCCGTCGGGTCCCAGGGTCTGTGTGCCACCCCTGCCCCGGCATTGCCACCCCCATCCCGGTCTCCCTGTAAGGCTGAGCACTGGGATGGCCAAAACCCCCCGGTGGCTCCAGGACAGGGCACCCTGGCACAGGCTGGGGGTCCCAGGCAGCATCTCCCCGAGGGTGGTGCCAGGTCCCCCTGGATGCAGTGGCTTGTGCCGTCTCAGAGGTGACAGGGATGTGTCTGAGCAGCAGCACAAAGGTCTGGTGTCCCCCTGCAAGCACTGCTGGACATGGCACAGCTCTGGGGATGCCCTGGGGTTCATCTGGGTGTGCTCTGGCAAGGGCACCTCAGGAGGAAGCTGTTTGCATCCCTGTGCGGGGTGCTTGTGGTGGCTGGAGCTGCATCTGAGGGCTGGAGAAAAGCAGCTTCACCCCCATGTCAGGGTGATCAGCACCCATTGTCATTGCTGGGGCAGGAGACCCTGGCTGTGCCCACCATGGGGCAGGGCAGCCCCTGGCTGGGGGATCCCCCATGCCAGGCAGGGGGACAGCAGGGACGGGGTGGTGGGAGCAGCAGGACAGGCCACAGGAGCAGCCCCCAGCCTGGAGTTAATGCCCATCCCAGTGGCCGGGTCCTGGTCCTGCTGCCCCCAAAGCAGCTCCATCTGCTCCATTTGCTCCATTTGCACCACAGAGGGGCCTTTCCAAAAGCCTGGAGAGGTGTCCCAGTGACAAGCCTTGCAGCGAGCTGGTGTCCCCCCGTGCTCCTCATGCTGCCCCCGTGTCCGTCTGTCCGTCCCCTCCCCACCCTGTCCATCCACACCCCATCATCCTGTCTGGAGATGGTGTCACCCGTCGCAGCTTCCACCCCTCCCTGGCACCCGCAGCCTCGCACCCCCATCCATTTCACCATGATCTTGTTCTTGGCTATTTCGGGGAGCACAGGGGCCCCCCCATCATCGAGACCCCCTGTCTACCCCTGTGGGTGCTGCTCTTGGTGGCCCTGAACCCCCCTGGGAGGTCACTGTTCTTTAGAGCCATCCCCAAAATGGCATCGATGGCTCTGAAACTCCATGGAGGCGATTCCCCCTGGGCAGGGGAAAGAAGCAATCCCTGGACTAATGGTGGGCCTGGATGGTGCTAAATTGAGCCACTGAGGGGGAGAGGTGGGCAGAGAGCTGGGGCGGCCCCGGGGGGGTTCAGCTGCCCTGAGCCAGTGGTTGGACTTGTGCTGTACCTGACACAGCAGGACTAACCTGTTCCCTCTTTTGCACTGCACCAAGGTAAGACATCTCACTTTATTTTTGGGGGGAGTGGGGACATTGAAGAGTTACCTCTGCCAGTCCCCTGGGCCGTGCTGTGGTGGGGACAGCCTGGGGAGGTGAGGAGGGAGGTGGCAGTGATGTTCTTGGTGCTCTCCCGGTGGCAGTGACATTGCCCACACCTTCTCCTAGTGAAAGAACCCATTTGCCTGGATGGGATCTGTCACCTTGCCTGTTGGGGTGTCTTTGGGGGTGTCCCTCCCTCACCAGCTCTGCCCCTTCTCTTGCAGATGAGATGAATGACCACCAGAACACCTTGTCCTACGTCCTGATCAACCCTCCCCCGGACACGCGGCTGGAGCTCAATGACATCGTGTAGGTGTCACCTCACCCCTGTCCCCAGACTGCCCCCAGTGCCATGAGCTGCCCCCATCCCGTTGCTTCTCATAAATACCCATAAAAGAGGGTTTGGCCTCTTTCCCAGGCCATTCCTTGCCTGTGTTCCTCAGCAGTGCCAAACCAGCCCAGCCCTGTTTTAGCTCCCATGGGCAGCATGGAGTTTTCCTTTGGCATTTTCCACTGAGCAGCTGACGAATAACTCCTGATTATTTATTCTAATCTTTTCTGGCATTTACATTTCACCTCTTATTATTTAACACCTTTTATTCAAACAACTGCAAGCAGCACATCCCCATGGGGCCATCCTTGTGTGTCCTGCCCTCAGTTCCAGCGGGAGCTGTGGCATTCCAGCGGCGTGACCAGGCTGTGTCCCGCAGGTACCTGATCCGCTCCGACCCTCTGGCCCACGTGGCCAACGACGGCCACAGCCGCAAGAGCAGCTGCAGCAACAAGCTGGGCTCCGGCAACCCCGAAACGCGCGACGAGACCCAGCTGTGAGAGCCCCCGAGCTCCCGGTGCTCCGGGCTCCGGGGGAGGAGAGCACGGCCCGGCCCGGCCCAGCCCAGGGGAAGGCGGCTGCTGCTGCCCGCGGTGCCCCGGAGGAGGCGATGCCCAGCGGGAGGGATGCCCGGAGCCCCGGCACAGCCGGACGCACCCGCAGCCGGTGGCCGCGCGCCCCCGGGGGATTTTAACTTTTTATATCGATACCGCAACTAGTGAGAAAGTCTTCGCTGGTGCTGGGGGGACGTGGCTGAGCCCAGATGCTGATGGCCCCTGGGGAGCAGGGCTGAGGTTGGTACCGGCCAGGAGGGTGCAGGTTGGTAAAGAGGAGAGTGGAACTGCACCGAAACCGTGCTCCTCTTCCTCCTCCTCCTCCTCCTTCACCAGGTGTCCCCCAGGGTACCCAAACTCCTGCTGTGTCACTCATGTTCTTCTCGGCTGGGTTTCTGTTCTGGGTGGCCACGCTGGGAGCTGGGCGAGGACTCTGGTGGCCGTGGGACAGCCGGGATGGAGGGGACAGGGCATGGCAGGGCTGCTGTGCCCCCAGAGCCTCGGGGCACCTCACAAACCAAACCACAGCAAGCCCAGGGGACCGAGAGCGGGGCCAGCTCTGTGGCAGTGCCCTGGAGCCCCTGGGTTTGTGTCCCCTGTGCTGCCAGGGGCACTCGGGGCTGTGTGTCTGGGGTGGCTGGGCTGGGTTTGGTGGTTTGGTGGCTCCACTCGCCCTTTCCCCTCTGGCCAGGGCAGTCTGGGGTCCAACCCTCCCATGGCCTGCTGTCCTTCCCCTCCCCACGGTCACAGCTCGGTGACACCGTTATGGCAGCGGGTTCTGCCTGTCCCCCTGGCCACCACGGCCCCCTGGCAGCTCCAGCCCCCCTGCTCGACTCTGTCCCCCCTGTCCCCATGGCTTCCCCTGCAGCAGAGGTGCATGAATGTCCCCCCCGACCTGCAGGGACCTGGCACCACCACAGATGTGTTTTCCACAGATGTGTTTTCCACAGATGTGTTTTCCATCTGCTTTTGCACAACATCGATGTGGAAAGGGTTTTTTTGACTGCCAAGTGAATAACTGAGTTGTTAACTTTCTATACTTTCATGTTCATATCTTACAATTCCAGTGTGATTTTTTTTTTTTTAAGCAAGGAGCTTGTAAAGCACAACATGGCCATGAAATCCCATCGGCTTCCTGCACTCACTGCCAGCTGAATGGTTTATTGCCACTACCATTCACTGTTTGCTCCCCAATGCACCCCCAATCAATGTTTACAAAGAAAACAAAATAGAAAACAAGCCAAAACCTGATTTAAATGAGTTTTAAACAGCTGGGGAGATGCCTGTGGGGATGTGCTGCCCATCCTGCCCTTGGCCCTGGGGAGAGCAGAGATGCCCAGGGTAGGAGCAGTGCCAAGGCTGGTGTCACCTCCAGAGGGGGTTGAGAGAGACCTGCTGTGCCTGGATGAGGTTTGGGGTCCAGCTTTTATTTTTTTTATTGTTGTTTTTTCCTGAAGTGCCAGGCAGGAGCTCCTGAGTGGTGGCACATCCCAGGCCTGGTGAGGTACCACAGGTAAAAGCAATGAGTGCACCCCTCCCACCCTGCTGAGCTGTGGGCACAAACAGAACTGTCTTTAAAGATTTTTTGGGTTGTTTTGATGGATTTTTAATGATTAGTTTTGGATCTGTTTGGTTAAGGCAGGCACAGTGTTTTATTTATTTCTGTTTGCAGCTTCACATGCCAAATTTGTCATTTAAAAATGGCAAAAAGAAATTACAGGCTAAAAAGGGGTTGTGGTTGAAGAACAGAAGGACACGTGGGCTCTGTGCTAGCTTGAAGCCTCAGGATGCTCAGACCATGGAGTGGGAATGTATTTAAATGTCTGCATTTAATATGGATCATTTTCCAAACCCCACTTTGCTTTCAAGGGAGAGTGGAACAAAGCAGTATTACAGGTTAAATAAAACCAAACCAGCAGACAAAGAAAAGCCCAAATAAAACAGAAGGTGTGATTATTTGAATATATTTACTGAGAACATTTCTGTTATTTTTTGTCTGTTTGGCTGTGAGCTGTGTGTGAGAGCGCAGAGAAGCGAGCGCAGCTCCTCAGCTCAACCCTCCCATGGCAAGAAAACTCAATTTCTTTTAAAAACCCTTAATTTACTTAAAATTTCACCCCCAGCCCTGAGCAGCCAGGTCAGCCATGTGGCCAAATGCAGGCTCTGTTCTCCAGAGGCTCCACTGGCCGTGGTGCTGGGTCCCTCCTTCCTCAGCGGGCACACACAGCTCCTTCCTGCCCTTAATCCGAGCAGAAAATGATCCCTAGAGGAAACCACATGCCAAAAGGACTGAAGCCTCTGTGTGGTTTGTGATATTGTCAGAATGCCCTCGATATTCCTGTATTTTGACCATGCTTCTGTTTGTTCAGTGTACAAAATCCCTGCGTTTGAAACGGAAGCTCCGTGTACAAAGCCTCGGGTTCCTTCTCTGGTGTAAATTTCCAGCTGACCTTCCCATGGGATGGGGAAAACCCTGTAAATACTCACCTGTGGCCAACGCAAGTCTGAGAACCAAGGGTTCATTTTTCTAATTCCTTAGCCTCAGTTACAATACTAATGTAAAAACAAAAGCAGTTTATTTTTCTAATGGTCCTGGAAACGTCGATGCGGCGACAAAGAGTCGTTCGCGCCGCTGAAAGGGCCCGCAAGGAGCTTCCGTGGGAGCAGGAGAATGGCTATTGCTTCCAACCATGGAGAAATCCCATTTTCTACAGGAAAGAGTTGTGTTCCAATGCAGAGACCTGGCAGGCCCTGGGGGATGCAGAAACGAGCACAGCTGGGATGTTTTGGGGTTTTCCAGCAGCGGCTCCGGCGCATGTTCCGTGTCCACTAACGGTTTGATACAGTATGGACTAAATCCACATATCCTGCATTAAACTCAACTACTCCAACCAATGTTATGAGTATATTTATTTCCTGTTATCCCCCTTTTTATTTAACCTCTATAGAACAGGACAGTTTTATTCCAAGCTCAGCTCCTGCATGGATTTTTATCAGCAACAGCAACTCCCGTCTTTCCTCTCGGAGACCGAGCTCCGGGAGCTGCTCTGCTGGGATGCAGCCAGCCAAGGGGAGAGGGTTTTGTACAATTCTTGTGAAGATGCTTCACATTTCTGTAAAGATAAATGACAATAAAAGAGCTGCATGCAGCAACAGGAGACACTGCTGTCTGATTTTTTCTGGTTTTTTCAGGGATTCTGTTTTAAAAGCCGTAGGAAAATGTGGTTGAAGCTCTTCCCAACTTCATTTTCAAACTCTTTGTGCCCTCTGGCACAAAGGGCCTGGTGTGGTAGAGGAGCTTTTAAAGATTATTTCATTTATTTATTTAATCCTAATTTATGTGATTTAATAAATACATTAAATTTTGTAGGTATTTAAGGTTTGTTTTTTTTAACTGGTGTTTAGCCAAGATTCAGTGCATGTTCTTCTACCTCCCAACACTTCAAAATTTGGCACTGGCTCCAAAGTTTCCAAGATTTTCAGGGAAGATCCCAACATTTCTAGAGCATGCTGCACTCATACACAAAGATTTTAGCTTGGACATCAAATGCAGGTAAGCAGAGATTGGTTTTATTCAGCATTTTAGGCAAATCCTGTAAAAATCTATTTATTTAAAATCCCACAGAAGGACACAAACAATATCCCTTAAATAGGGAAGATCATTCTGGGCTGAACATACACGTGAGGAAGCTGGAAGTAAAAGGACAGCAGGAAGCCAAGTCCCTGCTAAATTACTTTTTAATTATTGGCTTTAAACCAAATAAATCTGTACCTGGAGAACAAAATCCTCTTGATTTTCCAGGACATCCAAATTGCAATGATTACACCACCACCAGGAGCAGCTCTCACTGGATGGAAACCCAGCCAAGGCTGCAGAAAGGATTTGATGCTCTGCACAAGGGGATTTCAGCACTTCCCAGCTGTGGAGTCTTCACTTTTTCCTCTTGTTCCACCCTCCACAGCAGCAGACACAGAAAAGAAGAGGAAAAAAACTCTGCAAAATGAACAAAAATTCATTGAAATATTTGCCCCAGTTGAGGAAAATCAACTTCTATCACTACAAATTCCTTAAAGAAGAGGAAAAAATCTAGAGCACTAAAATATGCATTAAAAATAATGGGGTTGGTGTGGCTGGGAAACAAAAAGGAAACCAAATCCAAGAAGGATTTTTTTATTTTGCTGTAAATTCAGTTTTTGTGGTCATTCCCTGGAAAACAGAGTCAAAAGAAAGAGGTTTTCCTTTGTCAAGATTTCCAGGTAATGCCACAATAATTTGGGAAGGTTTTTGGGCTTCAAACCATTCTTTCAAGTGCCTCATTTGAATTTTAACAAATGCTGGATATTGAATATTTCATGATCCCTGCTGCACACTCTTCCCCAGAGGTTTTTTTTTCCCCTCCACTACAATAAATGTGTTATTTCCTAACAAGTTCAGAGGGATGGATCAGAAAACTATGACAGGATTTCAGCAGCAAGATAAAAGTGAATTTATATTTAGCACAGACAAGGAAATTAAATCCACCCTGTAATTTTTACAACAGGAACGTACCCGTGCTCAGCACGGGCTGGAGAAGGAAGGGACATAAAAATCCAGTTCTGGAATGGCATTTTCCTTAAAAATTTGGGTTATTTTTTACAAAGAAGAGCTGAACTCACCACTTGCAGCAGAAGAGTAAAAATGCACTTTTTCATAGGCCCACAGGAAACTTGAAATCTTCAAACCCTCTAAAACCAAACCAAGCCTGCAACAGAAAGCTCAGGGAAATATTTTCTTATCAGAATAACAATCTTTTAAAAACCTATCATTGTTTTTCACTTCCTACATGGTAAGAGAAGTCCAATGTCTGTGTGGTAACCTGGAATTCATTGTAAAATTTTCAATGTAATGTGGAAAATACACTTAATTATAGTGGACCATAATATTCCAATTTTGAACTGGCCTGAAGATCTTTATATAATAAAGTTTCACTTATCTGAAGCACACAACCCCAAAATACTCCCCAGATTTCTTCAGTTCTGCAGAAGAACAGCAGTAAAATGATACCAAATTTCTCCAAAATCTTCTTTTTGGAGCCTTGTCCTTGGAGAATCCCAGCACAGCTTCATCCCAAGGATGCTTGGCATGTCCTGACCCCCAAACCCACCCCCCTCAGCCACCTGCCTCTCCCTCAACCGCTGAAAATTAATTACATTTAACCCCCTAATTAACTGCAAGCCACTTAATTGGATAAGCTCAGCACGGGTGGCAGCTTAGCCCACATCCACAAGGACTGCTCCATTCCAGGGGTGGGACCAGCACCAAATTCCCAGGAAAGTCAGCTCAGAGTGAACAGGAGACACCTCATTTGTAGCTATATTTAAACAATAAATCCAATAAAATAGAAAGTGAGGGGCTTTGGGGTGGTCTGACACTGCTCTAGTCACCAGTTCTGGGATTTGTGAGGGGAAAAGCAAAAGGAGTGGAAAATCCAAGTCCTGAGAACTCATTCCTGTCATTTTTACTTCAAACTTCAGCCCCAAAGCCCTGGAAGAGAAACTGCAGAGATTCCAACACTCCACTCCCCAGTGCAGTGGGGACAAAAATCAGCTTTATTTCCTTGGCACCCTCAGCCCTCCCAGTGGAGGTGAAGGCTTCCAAAATAAGTTGGTGTTTTCCAAATTCAGATTATTTTGGCTTGAACTCTTTCCCCACCTGAGAGCAGGATGAAAATGGGACAAAACCACAGCAAGTACAGATGCAAAGAGCACATGGAACAGACAGACTGATGGACAGAGCTGGAGACAGAAATTGCACTTGGCAGCACTTTAAAGATGCACATTCTTGGATTTGTTAGTAAGAAACAGAGGGGGGTCACAGACAGAGCTCCCACTTTCTCCTCCTGCTTCCCAGGAAGCACAAGCAGCACCTCTGGGAGCAGCTGGAGGAGTTTTTATCCAGTTCTGCTTGTTTGGACAGAGCAAAGAGGGAACAACAACCCTGGCTCTAATCCTGGGGAAAACCAACCCAAACAAGCAGCTTAAGCTGCAGGCTGCCAGTTTAATTCCATTTACCTGCAGGGATCCCAGCCCCTGGGGCTGAGGGAACAGGTGATTCCCACACTTTTCCCTGATTTCAGGGACTCTCATTGTGCTCTGGAAGGAGAAAACCCCATTTTCCAAGCAGGGATTTTTAGAAGTTATCAGGGTCCAGATCACCTCGTTAGGATTTTAGGATTTTATTGTGTCCTTATTAGGACATCAGGATTTTCAGTCCTTGGCAGGGAAGGGTTAAACATGAGGTCACTAAAACCACAGCCAGAAATCCTCTGTATCCAGAATTCCACAAATTTAACCCAAACCTCAACACTGAAGTAGAAAATTACCAAAATTCTGCCACTGAGTGACTGCACAGATCAAAGGAGCCCCAGCAGACAGATGCAAGAGTCTGCTGAAATAAATCCTCAACTATTTCCCAATTTCTCAGAGTTTTTTGGACCCATTCTTGCCCACTGCAAGCTCTTGTCACAAAGTTATTGCAGCTCCCTGCAGGTGAAGCTTTAACAGAACAGCACATCTTTAAAGTGGATTAGTTCTTGGAGGGGATGAGGTGTCACACCAACAAAAGTACACATGAAATAAAAAGGAAATCAGTTAATGATTTTTATTAAATTTCAGTGTTTCATAAAATAAATATGGTTTATAATATCAAACAGTGAGAAATAAAGCACAAGCATGAAAAGCATGGTAACAAAAGTTACACTCATGACGGTGTTTAATACTCAGCACTTTAGAAACCATAAAGCCTTTAATTATTTACAAGCAGCAAACTATCTAACATAATTTACAAAGTTGCAGCAGCCTAGTCAGGGAGTCCTGGAAGGGGAAAAACCACGGAGAGACTGCACTGGAAGACCTTCACTTTGCTCTAGCTACCAGCACTTCATCCCATCCCTCAGCTCCCCTGTGTACAATAACTCTGCACCTTCCATCATCTCCAAGGTCAATAATCACATTGGATTTGGAGCTCAGTTCCTCTCGAGGATGGGCAGGGCCTTCTGCACTCGAGAGACACAAATTCAAGTAACACTTCAAAGGAAAGTAAACATGTGCAAACCCACGTCAGAACCCACAGGAGCTGCAGGTAGTAAGTGTCAGACCCACGGAGCAGGAGCTCGTTAGCAGATTAGATTAATTAGGGAATAGCTACAGAAATCTACCTGGGAACCAGCTGGGGCCAAGAATGAGACATGGGAGTGGTTAAAAATAAAAACAAAAAACAAAGAAACAAAAAAAAAAAAGGAACTGCAAATGTACCCTGTTAGCACAGACAAAAATTTAATCTGCCGAAACACGAAGACTTTTAAGGTCATAACTCAAGATTTAATATTTCAACATGAAAAGAAATCCAAGCCATTCGACTTATTTGGGCTTTTGAAACAAATGCAAATGTCTCTGTTTAAAAATTGCTTTCAAATGAGAAAAACAAATCAATATATATTAATATATCACCCAAAATAAAAAACATAACACACTCTTCATTGTAGAGCATGCTGCTCATTCAGAATAAAGACAGGACAAAGAAAGTAGAATTACATTTCATGATGTAATAAAAACATTAAAATCTGTGATCATTAAGTGCACCATCGTACAGGAGTAGCGTGCTCAGAGTGGAAATGTTCTATACCTACCAGCATCCACCTTTATTAAAGCAAACAAATCTTTAGGACACTACCTGAAACTGAAATCAGTAATCACTGGGCTCCATTCAGCTTGCCTTAAGTTTCAGCCAGGCACATTCCAGCTAGTAGCACCTGTTATGCCTCTTCATGATTGTATTCCAGAGATCTTTTACATTTGTGAACAATTTTTTATATTTGTTTTTTTTTTAGAAAAAAGACTGGCTTTTGCAATGCTTATCCTACACAGATCCTGCAAGTAAACTCTGTTCTGAGCAGCACAAGTTGGGGCTTTTTTCAGAAATCTGAGAGCTGGACTTACGTTGGCAGTAGGTACAGTACAACAACTGGATGTATTCAACAGTTCCTCAAAAAGGTCTGAAAGGAAGATTTCCCTAAAGACTGTTTAAAAAACCAAACCAAACCCAAAGCACTTCACCCAAGATCTGTTCAATCCTTCTACCCAAGTTCAAGGCTCGCCAACTTTTAAGAACGCCAGGAAAAA